AAAAAAAAAAAAAAAAAGAAAGAAAGAAAGAAAAGAGAGAAGAAGGGAAAAGGAAAATAGAGGAACGAAAGAGAATGTTTCCTTGAAACTCCAGGCCAGACCAGAGATCGCTATTAAACTCGATATCACAGAACGAATTATCATAAATTTGAATTAAACGCGGTTTTCTTGAGTGTCTCGGCGGCCGTCGCTCATTTTCGAATCTCGAAATTTCCATTCGAATGCTAATGAAAGGGGGCCTGTTATAACTGCTCCGATATTATTTGCATTTCATCCGTTTGCGCGGCGCAACTTGTCCGTTCAAATATATCCACGCTCTCCGGCCGATTTATTTTGCCGAAGCCAAAACCCACCCGCTCGATCGAGGATCAAGTTAGAAAACGGATCCTTCGACTTTCTACGCGTGACGCGTGCAGGTGTAAACGGAGCTAACGAACAGGGGAAACAAAACGTTTCGAAAAGAAAAATGGTACCGACGAAGTCATCGATGAATCTATTTCATCATACAAATTCACAGTCCACTCGTTTTCGTGAAAATTGCCCGCGCAATTGGATACGTTCAAGTACCGATGAAATAGAAACAACATTGAACAAAAGGAAAAAAAAGATACAGAAACAGGAAGAATTAATTTCCCTGTGGAAATATTCTTCTCTTCGAATCTCTTTCTCTCTCTCTCTCTCTCTCTCTCTTACACACACACGCACACATCCTTTTCATCTGCCTCGTTGCGGAATCAAAATCGAAAGGAATAACATTTCCCTGAAACGGAAAGAATAACCCAATGAAAAAACCGGTACGATCAATTCCAATCGATCGATGTATTTCTTACATTTAAATAATTTGTTCAACGTCGAATGTGCTTCCGACCGGGATGTCCTCGCGTAACACTCGCGACTTGGGAAAGCACTCTGGAAACCAACACGGGGGTGTAACGTAACGTATAACAACTTCGCGTAACAATCACTTTCACAAATTTCGAGCAACTTTCCCGACACTTTGATTCGACGCGATCGCGTCCGAATCGACGCGCTCGACGTCCCTTTAATCGAACCGGCATCCGAGTCTATCGGTTCTAGGGAAGTCTCTTGGCGGATCTCGGATGAAGTATCCTCGTCACGTAGCACTTGTAAACCCCATTTAGATTCCGTGAAAGCTTTGAAAGTCGGCAAAGTTCACCGAGCTGCCGTGGGATAGTCATTATCGTCGCAAATTGTCCCCTGAACTGCTTTGGATCTCCTCACCTCCTCGCGCGACCGGGTGGCACTAAATTCTTTGCGAAATTAGGCAAGAACAGTCATTAACTGTTCGTTGAAGTGAGCGCAACCGCGAAAGAGAGAGAGAGAAAGAGAGGGAAAAAGGGAGAAAGACTTTCCGTACGTTGTTCCATAGAAATCTGAAAACACACATTTTCGGATACACACTTTGTCGTTTTCCCACGACAAATTACTACTTCACGTTCCATCGTATGTACCCGTTTGCAAAACGCTCGACGTCTACGCGCGACACGCCCGTAGTTTCGCTCTATAATTTTCCAGTCGATCGTTCGAGCGTTTCGGAGAGAGCGTCTTCGGGATCGCGTGGTATGCAAGATTATCTATTGACTCTTGACGCTGATTAACCGAGTCTGCTTGGATCCACGTGGATACATGTTTTACGCGACGCTGTGCCTAAGGAAGAAGCAGGCTCCGGGGTTAATCTCGTTCACGAGGACGAGGGTCGAGCAACACCGCTACACCAGATAAGAGACAGCCTCTCTCGTCGTACATTAACCGTCCGTTTAATCTATATCCTGGATTTTCTGAACAGCTTCCCTCGGAGAATAGGCGCGTTACAGCCCTCTCGATCGAGAGCTCGACGTATCGAGAGCCGAGTTGATAAATTATTCACTCGTCTCTCCGTGCGCGAAAATTCGAATATATATACACGGCGTCTGCTCCCCCATTATTTCCCCTATTCTCTCCCCCCTCTTTCTCTCTCGTTTAATACACAACGAGATTCCCGCGGATCTCTCCCATCAAGGGAGAGAATTAACAGACCTTCCGAATTTACCCCTCGTCCGGCTGATTCGATCGAGCTATTCGTTCAAAGTCTGAATCAAAGTCTTTTCCAATGTATCGTCTTTTTCGTCTTCTTTCTGCGTTCCGCTCGAGTTCGTCTCTCTGAGTACGAGGAGACGAGACCGAGAGAGATCATCGCAGCGTCACCTGTTGTCTCCATCCTGACAGATTAGCCGGAAGCTTAGCTCCCAGAGCGGGAGGGTGGAGGGAGTGGCGGGGAGGGGGGGGGGACAGGTCGAATGGTTCAGGTCGAACGTAACTGAGAACCATTTACCGGAAGAGGTTCTAACGGGCATTAACTCGTTGCCTGGAGCGGCGGGCATGGTAGAACGGCAAGGAGAAGGGGCAGCAGAATACAGCAGCAGGTCGGCAGCGAACGGAAGCCGACGGGTTCGAGAGACGCGGCGGATTTCGTGGGTGGATTTCTGGCCTGGTCGTTCATCACGTCGCTGGATATCGCGGCGCTGTTCGGCTCCGCCGAGGGGCAGCTTATCGGGGCGCTCATTGTGTCGTTGCTGGACGAGGAATCTCGGGAGCAACGGCTCGCGTAGTGACCCAGACAGGAGGCGTATGAAATCGCATGAGGTATATAGCTCTGGTCGACGCTGCCGGAGAACAAGACACTGGCCAGAGGTCCGATGGCGAACACTGGCACGTCCTCGCCGCCGTGTGTCGCCCAGGCACGAGGCACCCCCGCCGTCTGCAATTCGAAATCAACGTTTCAACGCTCGGTCGCATCGATCAACGTCCACATTCACGCGGCGAATTACCATACGCTCAGAGCACATTCAGATATTTTAAAATAGAACACATTCAGATGTATTTTAAAATACATCTGCAGATCAATACGTCAATTAAGAATGTGCAGATGTGCAGATGAAATATTTAAATCGAAATTTCATGTATACGTGTAATAAGTGTATACATGTCTTTAGTATTACGAGTGCTTTTTAAATATATTTCAGTGTAATTTCTATCTACAGAGTGCTTGGTAGAATTACAATTCTATGCCATTAATCCATTTGCATCGCTATTTAGATTTCACGATTCGCGCGCGTATTATAATTTATCAAGCTTCGATTCAAGTATTTACTACTATCTGTTAGTAATGACTATGAAATATTAATAATGAAATAGTGAAATATTATAATACTAGAATTTTAGAATACTTGGAGACAGAGCACTTAATATTATATAGAGAGTTCACAATCGGGATAAATTATTTCTGATTAAGAACAACATTTGTCCTTTTTCTTTTCTTTCTTTTGGCGAAACTTTCAGCCAACGGAACAGTTAACATTATTATTTAACATATAATAATCAAAACTATTGAAAATATTAAAATAACATTACCATTTAAATTATTAGAACTAAACTGTTCCATCGGTTGATAGTTTTGATAAAAAAAAAAGATATTTGTACTTTAATAAAAAGTCATCTACACTAGTCGACTTCTATTGACGTCTTTCTTACGTTAATAAATGTATTTAATCGCTGTTCGATGAATTATTCCGCGTTTTATAATTGACTCGCAGGATATTTCGCTTGGTGATGCAAATAAGTCAGGTTAAAAAATAAGTCGAAAGGAAAAAGCTTCACTTTTGAGAAAATCAGCTTCAAAAATTTATCAACTATAACCAATATTTTAGTCAATTTTGGATTTATCAAAAATAATTACGGAATAAAAGTTATTCCATCTGCGAAAATATGTCAAAAGTGTAGAATACAATTTTATGTTTCTTGGAAATTTAATTATTTCCTTCGAAACGAGCTCTGAAACGAAAAAAACTTTATTCCACACTTTTCGACTTATTTTTTCATTGAATCCCTCGCCCTCGGCGGTTACGCCAACGGATCGGAAACACTCGGAAACTGTATTTTGGTTTAGAAAATATCCCCGAATGTTACATTGATGCACGATTTTTATTTGTTGGCCTAACAAAGCATGTTCCCGTTTTTCCCGTACGTACAAAAAAAATGTTCAAACGAAATTTTCAGCTTGAAAATCGTGTGTAGAGAAACCGTGTGTATCGATGCCCGCACGTGCGTTTAACTTCTATGGGATATTCCGCTTTAAATCGAGGTCGACGTTTCGTTGTTTTCTCTCTTTCTTGTTTTCTTTTTTCATCGCGGTAGGAAAAATTTCACGCCCAATTGGGGACGAACAACGTTGCGCGCAACATTCGCGGCCTGTTCCTTACTGTTCACCCGAAGTGAACCCGTTTCGTAATCCGCGTCGAAAGGATAATCGTGGAACAGCAGCGATAAATCATGCCATAAATTTCCAGCCGGTACCCGCGATTTACCGGCGTTAACGAAATTCCAGCTGGCGGCCTCGTTACCGAGCGACCAAGGGACGCCGAGCCTGCAATTTCGACCTTGTATGTAATTATGATGCACGAGCAACTGATATCCACCCTCTCCTCTTTCTTCATCGTCGACGGAGAATGCATGGCGTGCATTGCGACGTTTTTTTTTTTTTTTTTTTTTTTTTTTTGAGAAACAAAGGAGAAGAAAAAGAAAAAGAAGTAGAAGGGAGGAAGAAGAGACGAGAGTGGTTGAAAGAAAGGGGAGAGAAAGTAGAAAGATATGCCTCGCAAGAGGGCACTTTCGGTTGAAGCGGTCGACGAACCCCTTTGGCACGGTTCAACCCCGCGATTGGATGAAAGGGTGCATCGAGAAGAGCGTGGCGCGCACGAGATCTGGTTGGAAATCTTCGCCTCTGCAGGAAACGAACAAAGTATGCCGCTGGTTGGTATTTCTGTCGAGCGTACGCCGCTCGACGGAACTTTCATCGTGCTGGAAAGACCCGGCAGCGTTACGCTCTTCCGTAAGAAGGAGAATTGAAATCGAGACAACGCGCAACTTCTCGCGGGATGATGCACCGACACACGGTTCCCTCTCGATCGGCCCATCGAGCGAGGGATCCGCGGGCGATCACGGAACGCTACTTACTTCGCCTTTTACCGAGTTGGAACTTTGCTCTCGAGTAGAGTAGAGATATACAGCGGCGGCCTGAGTGTGAGTGGGTGTAAGAGAGGGCGATCTGGCCGTGGGGGTAACGCACAGGTCGGGATTAATGTTCCGTGTTCTTCCCCGTGTAAGCCGCGAGAGAATCGCCCGGCAAAGATGGATCGTATAAAGGCAGGTCTTGTCCGCTCGTAAAAATCGCACGATGATCGCCTTTTTCTCGGAAAATGATCGCAAGCGGTTTCCACCACCGTTGTTTCCACGGTGTTTTTAAAGAACTTAACCGTCCGTTTTCCGTCGCTTACTTTCATCAGAAACTGTACAGTCACGGAATAATTCTCTTTTATTCTGAAACGTTGAAACTTTTCACGTTTATTCCAACAACGGTTCACGAAGAATATACAGCGAAGAGCATGACCGTGTCAATGACAATGACAAAAT